GGACACGTGTAAGCGGGGCCGCGGGATTCCGTATGAGCAGATCGGCCCGCCGATTATACGCTAATTCAACGCAAATTCCTTCCCGGAGATATCTGTATCGCTCGCATACATCAGAGCCCGCGGTAGCTGCTGCTGCAGAAGCTTGTGCCGCTCGCCGTGGCTCGAAGCGTTCGCAGTCGCCGGTTAGCTTAATCAGTACCCACGAGGAGACAACTATATACTCACGACTACATAGTTTCGTGCACATGTGCCCGGCACATACTGGCCCCGAACACTCGGGGCCCACGAAAACGGTCCACCGCTTTTTTGCTGCGCTCTCCAGCAACCCGGAGGGAGGCTGCTCGCGCGAAACCCTACGGACGTACTAATTAATCCGGACGGAGATGCGATTATGATATCGGGAGAGGATGTCGGGACCCATTCCTCCTGACGATGATTTCTTGCTGACAAGATACTGCGAGTCTGTACTTTGTCTCTAATTCATGGATCTTCGATCTTGTGCAGGATTTCAAATGAATGTTCGACTATCAATTACAAGAAGCAACGACTCATCTCGAAGGATATAAAGTTTCGTACTACCTCATTACGTAAAAATATCACGTAGTAAATGTATAATAAAAAGATGTTGTAATACGAATATCGATAAAATGTCTTGAAACCGCAAGCTTACAATCGATAGAAAACTTCGGTATACGTATGCAGGGACCGACAGGAACACGGTATTTCGAACAAGTCGAACAATTGATTCGAAACACGCAAGAGACAAGATGTCGGGCAACGAACAACCCACGGGGACGTTGTTAATCCGGCAGAGAGTAGAAGGACGCAAAGGGAGAAGCAAAAGTTGTATGTCACGACCTCGTGCACCGTCGTACGCGGAACAAAGGGTAGCACAAATCATTGGACGGAGTGGCTTCGACGTTAAAGGTTCTCACGCATGACGTCGCAAGGATTTCCAAGGAGAATCCCGGTAAAGAGTGCGAAGACGAAGGCTACCGTATACCCACGGTATCCCTGGTAGTCGGACGAAGGTCCAGGGCACAGGACCGAAGATATATCACGTTGTCGGCCGACATACCATTCTTTTGCGGCACCGCACCGTCCAGCCGACACAGTGTGCGCAGCATTCACAAATTAAGGAGCGCCAAAGTCCACGGGACGGCGTAGGTATGGCGCTATCGCGCTTCATAAAACTTCGTTAGCACGCTGCAAGTAGACGGCCTCCGAGCTGACCGTTGCGTTGGGGCTGAGCCGTGCCGTTATAAGCGCTGATGGCCTCTCGCGGAGCTACCGTAAAAATTCATTTTGTTGGCTGCTCGTGTAATTCCCCCGGATTCTTGCATCTTTCGCGTTGGACCTTGTATTAGGCGAACAAGGTTAATCCTGACCCCGCTACCATCGCGTTGCTCGTTCAACTCGCCACGCTGTCGCCTAACGGAGATCCTAATCTTGATTAGCGCTCGCGTTCCTTTATCTGAACGTAAATAAAGGTAAACGGGATTCATTGCTGTGTCTTCCTCGAATTCTCCGATGCTACATTTTTTCCCTTTAAAACCTCGATCTGCTCTTCTCGATTCTCTGACGAACTTAGCTCTCGGAGAGTATTAGGTGAAATAGTATAACTATTGAGACATGGAAATGTAGGGACAGCAAGTACTTTGCATAGACTTACTATTAACTTTCTATCGTCACATGTTGTATCACCGCCATCTTTCGAATCTCCTATTAGATCAATTTCCACGACCCCGAATGAAAACGAAAATTCGATAATCGAGAGCGGTGAAGGAAAATTTGATGGCTGAATCCTTTGTCGGAGCAACGGTATTGGCGCCACGTGGCTCTAATATCAAGCAGGAGGTCGTATATCCTGTCGGTGCGTCGCTCGTTAATTTGCCGTGGAGTCGGTGCATATAGGGCTGGTGGGCGCACAAGGTGCACCCCACACGTGGTCACACGTACGGTCTCGTACACGGACACGGGAGCGTGTATCGCACGGTGGGCATGTAGCGACGGGAGTACACAGAGACACGGGTAAATAGGCGTACACGAAAGAGCGCGCGCGTGGTTCTCGTCATTAGGTACGTAGCCTCGTTAGGATGAGTTTTTCCGCCGCTAATGAGGTGGCCTGCAAGTTGTCTCTGCTACCGTGCAGACGGTCCGGCTCTCTCTCTCTCTCTTTCCCTCCAGGTGGATCAGGTGGACTCTCCCGGGTTTCTATGACGTCCACGCGCGAATCTGGAGACCTGGACACTATTTTTAATCTACCCTCGGGACGCGGACTTGACGGAATTAAAATACATGTGCCTGGGAGCACCGCGACCGCTTGCTTATATCCCCCGACGCGAATCGTATATTTCTCTTTTAACGGACCACCCTCTGTTGGTCCGAGCTGGATAATCCACCGTTCTTCCAGGCTGTTACGCGAATGGACAGCTTTTTTTTCCTTTCATTCTTCTTGTCACTGCGGCTTCTGGAAGGAGGAGTTATTGGAGATTCCTTGTTAGTACCTTGTTAGCTGCGCTGGACGAGAAACAGCATCGCGCTGAAATTTCTAGCATACGAATGTTCTATTATCAGGGTGTATTTCTTTGCGTTTAGTATTGCAAGTATCGATGAAATGTTTATGACATTTAGCTTGAAATTAATATGTCATGTGTTTCGATTCGAGACCGTATCAAAATTTCCTTGTGAGTCACAAGAATTTACAACAAAGAAATATTATTCAAAAATGATATCAAGTGACAGGACAATTCGAGGTAATTGAAAAACTGCTAATTGAAATATGGTTTCTTTTTTGAGAAGATCCAAATAAAGCGACTCAGATAGTGGATGAGCCAATTTGACCATTTAAATTTCGGGAACCAGTAACGAGTAATCTGTATCGAGTGTCATTAACGTGTACTACGATAGCTCTCGTGAAAGTGATATTAAACGCGTTATTCGTACGAATGGAGTACGCGTGTCGCGCATTTTTGCCGAAAACTGGCCACGGCCCGGGTAGCCATTAAATTTACGAGCCGTCACGGGTAACTTGCAAAGAATAATAACGTATATGCTCGAAATAATCCGTCGTCGTCGGAATAACCCGCTATATGGAAATAGCCGAGCATTTGAACGGCTCGATGTCAAAGCAAGCCAGCCCGGATATAACTCAACGTTTAAACGAGCCTGGTCCGCTTGAACCGACACGCGACGTTTTGGATTTAAAAATGCAGCTCTTCACGTTTTACCCAACAGCTATTTTTACGGTTGCCATTTCATTTTCCCGTGCTTGTTACAAAAAATGGACAATTTAAGCGGTATTATAACAGAATATCCTTTAAAAATCGTCCCAACGGCGAACACTTTACTTCCTCCGCTTAAGGCGGCATTATCGTTCGACTGGCTCATTGCTAGTGCCATTTTTTGGAAATTTATTGCGAGAAATTATGGGTTTAACTGAGCTTTTGTCGCTGTAATTTAACACGTGTAATCCACTGCGTGTGATCCAACATGTGGTAATCGAATGCATTGTGATTTGGGGCGTGGTAATTCAACCTGCGGTGATCCGGTGCTTAATAATTCAGCACGTAGTCATCACGTGCGTGGTAATCCAATGCGTAGTAATTCGGTGTAGAGCGACGTGTCGTGATTCGACGATTGGTAATGCAGTGCGTGCTAATTCATTGTTTAGTGATTCAGCCCTTAGTAATTTAATGCGTGGGAATCTAACGCGTGGTAATCAGATATGTGGTGATTTGGCGCGTGGTGAAGACACTTGGTGGTTCAACGCGTGGTAATTCGGCGTGTGAGAATTCGGTGCGTGGTAATTCGATGCGTGGAGATTCGGCGCATGGTAATTCGACGCGTGGCGATTCGACGCGTGGTGATTCGACGCGTGGTAATTCGATACGTGGAGATTCGGGGCGTGGTAATTCGATGCGTGGAGATTCGGCGCGTGGTAATTCGATGCGTGGAGATCCAGCGCGTGGTAATTTGACGCGTGGTGATTCGACGCGTTGTAATTCGATGCGTAGTGATTCGACGCGTGGTAATTCGATACGTGGAGATTCGGCGCGTGGTAATTCGACGCGTGGTAATTCGATACGTAGAGATTCGGCGCGTGGTAATTCGATGCGTGGAGATTCGGCGCGTGGTAATTCGACGCGTGGTGATTCGACGCGTTGTAATTCGATGCGTAGTGATTCGACGCGTGGTAATTCGATACGTGGAGATTCGGCGCGTGGTAATTCGACGCGTGGTGATTCGACGCGTGGTAATTCGACGCGAGGTAATTTGACGCGTGAGAGTTCGACGCGTGATGTACCACGCTTGATAACTCAAAGCGTAATAATTCATCGCGTGGTGATTAAACACTTATCAGTACTACGTGATAATCTGTAACTAAGGAATACAACTCAATACGATACCTTAATCCTGATGCTTTCTCAGCGAGAATAATATCAAGGTTTTTGTCCAAAGATCCCCAATCTGAACCAAAGCCAAGAATCCAGCAGACCACAGCAAAGTCCGAAGATTTTTTTCGGCGGGTTTCAACGGGAATCGCGAAGAGTAATTCGAGCAGGATCCTCAGAGCGGTTCTCTGGCGTGTTTCGTCGCGTTGCTTTTCCTCTCGTCCCGTCCTCTCCGGCGTCGTGATCGACTGCTCTCAAAGTGCTCCTCCGCCTCTCGAGTGCTGTCCGACGTCGCCATTCATCCAGCTCGTTCCGGTTGACGTAGCTGGGTGCCGTTGCTTAATTCGCGAATATTTCACCCCGTGGCTCTGAAAATACGCTACAGCTGCTCGCGTCGTGTCTACAACCGGGCCACCGTTGCGATTTTTCGCTCTCGCGATCGTAAATTTCCGTCGTTGCGTGCTTTTTTACGTCGATCTGGGTTCTCTTTTTTTGCAACCGAGTTAATCCGATGGATCCCGATTATTTTATTCTCGAGTTAGCGAGACGGTTTAAACGACCGAGCCGAGATCATTATTCCTGGTGCTGTCAACGCGTGTGTTGCAGACGGCGTTGCACTGGGCGGCCAAACATGGCGACGAGAACATCGTGAAGCTGATCGCTGGGACCTACAAGGATTACATCAAGAGCGTCAACGAGACTACGGTGAGTTCTTGAAAGTTATAATATATATTCTAACATAAACTATTTAAACTAATATATTATAATTTAGGTTGTATAACATGTAGACAAATTGATATTGTTTTTATTCCATGTTCTCCGTCCGCTGGTCCTGTAACAGAATGGGGTAAGTTCTTTGTTCGATTTCTGGTATCCCATTTGGAACCACCTGAATATTCCTAATTTAAAACGTAGCTTTCTCGAGTAACGAGGATCAGTCAATCGACATCTGATAAATTGACGAAGATCGTCTTCACGATAGAGATTTAGGGAATAATGTTTTAAGGATTGTGCACCTGCGTGTCGATACACGCACACGTATATGGATAATGGTCCCAGGAAACTGTTTATCCGAATAAGGGTTAAACGAGTTAGGAGCGTCGCGCGTCTCTCCGGAAGTTGGAGCAAGAGGAGAGACGACCGGGTTTGTCCTCGTGGCAGGAAGGAAGAAACGAGAGGGAAAGGTAGACGCAGCGCACAGAGAGAAGACTGTAGATAGGATCGGATGTGTGTGGTCCACCGCTTTGCTCTTTATAAGACTTATATAAGCTGGAGTGGACTGCTCGAGGTAAAGAAAGAGGGCAGAAAAGAGACTAACCGCTGCACAGACCTCGAAGAATGAGAAGAAGAGAACGCGGGGAGGAGAAGAGCACTTGCTCGTTAGCGGCTCGCGACAAACACCGCTGAACTACTGCACCCGTTCCACATAGATGGACGAATAAGTAGAATGTAGTGCTAGTAAAAACATGGACTTTCGAGTGGATTAGTTCGTGCCTTAATTGATTTCATTAGGAGTTAACTTGAAACCTGAACTTTGCTCTGATTCAGAATCCTTACACGAGGTTTATTACACTTTTTCTTGTTGTATTACTATTCAAAATTTTTATTACAATTCCCGAATTTAGACTTCCAAGTTCAGATTTTCAAATTCATAATTCTAATTATAGAAGAGCTGAGGATTTAATTATAGATAGAATATTCGCTGAAGGTTGTTCAAAATTGTGTTACATTAAAAATATCAATGTAGCATAATTCTTCAGATTGCCATAATTCCATTTTACGTTTATGTCATCAAATTACGATCGAACGTATCGAAGTTTGATACGTCTGATATCATCTTTGAACGATGAAAGGTTTAATCGAGTCATTATCATCAGTTTTGTTAAAAAAGAAACGCTTCCGCATTGTACAAAGTACCTCCACCCTTTTATCACCATGGAGAACCTCAATTAAGGCGATCAACGTCGTAATAGCTTGTAGATCGCATCTAATCACGATCATATTCATTCCACGATGAATCTCTCGTCTCCTCGAAACACATTCTCCCGTTTGTCCTCTTCGCTAAGTACATTCGTTTTCACGGTATAATTTGTAGATAGGGCAAGAACCTAATAGCGGTTCTTCGGTTTGATCATCCTTTTTTAGCTATTTCACTCTGGCTGTTCTCTTCCATCGAGATTTCTGTAGTCCTGAATCTTCAATTTCTGCATTTCGCACGTAGTGATCACGTGCATGGTAATCCAATGCATAGTAATTCGGTGTAGAACGACATGTCGTGATTCGCCGATTGGTAATGCAGTACGTGCTAATTCATCGTTTAGTGATTCAGCCCTTAGTAATTTAATGCGTGGGAATCTATCGCATGGTAATCCAATATGTGATGATTTGGAGCGTGGTAAAGCCGATTGATAGTTCAACGCGTGGTAATTCGATACGTAGTAATTTAACGCGTGATGAGTCGACGCGTGGTGATTCGACGCATGGAGATTCGGCGCGTGGTAATTCGATCCGTAGTAATTCCACGCGTGGTAATTCGATACGTAGTAATTCGACGCGTGGTGATTCGACGCGTGGTAATTCGACGCGTGGTAATTCGACACGTGGTAATTCGACGCGTAGTGATTCGACGCGTGGTAAATTCCATGCGTGGTAAATTCAACGCGTAGTAATTCGACGCGTAGCAATTCGACGCGTGATAAATTCCACGCGTGGTAAATTCGACGCGTGGTAAATTCGACGCGTAGTAATTCGACGCGTAGTAATTCGACGCGTGATAAATTCCACGCGTGGTAAATTCGACGCGTGGTAAATTCGACGCGTAGTAATTCGACGCGTAGTAATTCGACGCGTGATAAATTCCACGCGTGGTAAATTCGAGACACGTGGTGATTCGACGCGTGGTGGTTCGACGCGTGGGAATGCAACGCGTGGTAATTCGACGCGTGGTGATTCGACGCGTGGTGATTCGACGCGTGAAGATTCGACGCGTGGTAATTCGATCCGTAGTAATTCGACGCGTGGTGATTCGACGCATGGTAATTCGACGCGTGGTAATTCGACACGTGGTAATTCGACGCGTGGTAATTCGACGCGTGGTAATTCGACGCGTGGTAATTCGATTCGACGCGTGGAGATTCGACGCGTGGTAATTCGATCCGTAGTAATTCGACACGTGGTAATTCGACGCGTAGTGATTCGACGCGTGGTGATTCGACGCGTGAAGATTCGACGCGTGGTAATTCGATCCGTAGTAATTCGACGCGTGGTGATTCGAGGCGTGGTAATTCGACGCCTGGTGATTTGACGCGTGGTGATTCGACTCGTGTAATGTCCACGAATTTCGTCAAAGGCACCGTACAGCCCACTGCCCGTAGCCAGGGCAGTCGACCTGCCCATCAGCTGTTCCGAACGAATAACGGTAGAACACACGGTGTCTCGAATTTGTTAAAGCACGAGCGGTGTCCCAGGGCGTTGAGCAGGTTCTCTGTTTTCAGGGATCAGCGCTCGATTTAATAAATACGCGTGTATTCGTGTAGGTAGCAACAACGTGGAGAGGGCTAATCCACTCCGGAATGGATCCGTCCTCTATCCAGCCTTTTTTTCCTTCGAGCAGCTTTAGAGAGGCAGACGGTGAATCCGTGGCACAGCGTAATCTGTCACAGCCACCACTCTCACCGTAGTTTTCTGCGGCTTATCCCGCCAACGGGCTCTCGCTTAATGCTGGGGCAAATGAAAAAAAGAGGGAAAAACGTGGGGAACGTCGAGACCCATCGTACACTCTTAAGTCGCGTATCTTTCTCGCTTGGATGCCGTGATTTTACACCGTGTAATATCCGATTTCGTTTCCTCTTCCATAATCGAAATCGTGCTGTTCTCTTTTTATCCTCTCGATCGAGACTTTTGATCGGGGCGTTTTAAGTCTAGTAACTAAAGTCGACCACTGGTGATCACATCTGATCGGAGCTGCAAATTGTGTTCAATTAATTATTCAAAACAAAAGCAAAAGGAATTTTGTCCAGCTTATAATGTTGAGAGTAGCAATGAGTCTTAATATACTAGCAGATTAAAAATTGAAATAGGAAGATTATGTGCTCTTGTGTTTAATAATCTGTAATGTGAACCAACCTTTCCTTGTGGCAGTGAATATGATAACCCAGACGAACTCAGTTCTTCTATAAACGCTTATAGACTTCATACTAAGTCTAAATTATACTAAGTCTTTCCTCTAAAATACCAATAATTTCTGTAACCACCAATGCTTGATAATCAGCAAAATTACCAGTGTATCTTCTTTCCCCTCGGATAAAATCTTGCACCTGTTAATGGTCGCTGAGAGCTTGTATCTTCGATCGCGCGAAAGTGGATGTTTCTATTATCTCCATTTGATTAATTCACTGTTTGATGCGGTATAAGTTGCGTGGACTTTGTAACAGGTCCGATATTAATCTTTTGTTTAATTAGGGATAGAAAACGATGAGAGTTCCTCGAAACGACTGCACTTTTTCATTGTCCGATGTCTGTACAGTTGGTACGCAATATCACTGTAAACATCGTTAGCGAGCATCGATACAATCGTTGCAAATATATCGAGGCCATTTGTAAGCATCAATGTTTGACATTCGTTCGGTGGTTACGAGCATCGCAGGTTCAAAGACACGTTATCGATGATGATCGCTTCACCTTAAGCGATCTCTAATGATCTGCGTGTTACTGGTTATTGAAGTGCTTGAATTACAATGAACAGTCAGAAGAAATCGAACGATTTTGTTCTCGAGGTATTCAAATCGATCGACGGATTCGACGTGTTGGGAAATGTTCAGCCATCAAAGGTTCACTCGAGGCTGCTGATTTATGGGCTGTTCAAGAATGTCGATAATTTAACGTCGTAAAGCTATGTTTCTCTATAATAATAAGTTTCGAACTTCTGTTTGAACTAACACATAACTACATTTGCTAATCGATATTCTGTGGGATGCAGAACAGTAGATGCGTTCGAAACGGTCACCCGGTGTACGCGACAGATTCCGCCAGTGTCTCGGGGGTCCACCGGCGGGATCGCCATTGTCGTTGGCTGTCGTACGCCCGGCAAGGATGCAGGCGCCACACGGGCGGCTTTACGGTCCCCGTGGGGAACGGGCACCGTTTTTTGCCGAGATTAAATGCGAGCCGATGCCGCGATAAGCCGTAGAAAACTACGCTGGAAGCGGTACCGGTGACAGATTACGCTCGTGACTACGATCCGCCATACGTCCAGAACCTGGTCCACGATGTCTAACCCCGGACCATGTGGATCCACGCGTCATCCGCCAGAAGAAATACCGCAACGAATTTCTCCTGATGTGTCTATCGTTCAACAAACGAGGCACATCAAACGAAACGGCAAAAAGCTTCGGTCGAAACGCTTCGACTACGCGTTACCTTATAAGTTGTGTAGAAATAGAGATGTGGAGATGGAACTCATGAAACTTCAGTTACTCGCTATACTATTCAGGAGATACGTAAATGTGTAACAATCTAAGGATCTGGAATACAGTAACTTAAAAGTATAGGGATTTAAACCTTCTTCATACGAAACGGCGAAAAGCTTCGGTCGAAACGTTTCGACTACACGTTACCTTATAAGTTATGTAAAAATAGAGATGTGGAGATAGAACTCATGAAACTACTCGGTTACTCGCTATACTATTCAGAAGATACTGACGTAAACATAAATGTGTAACAATCTAAGGACCTGAACTGTAGTAGCTTAAAAATATAGGAATTTAAACCTCCTCCATCTCCATATATCCTAGGGAACCCCAGTTCAGTGTAGAGAATGATCCAGACAAGAAATCGAGAGAATAAAGA